CTGGCCGGGGGCTGCGCACGGAGAGGCAGTTCCCAGCGACAGCCTCGCTGCCGGCGCCAGGCTTTCCCTCCGGGCTGCAGCGTGTGCGCCACCTCCCATCAGCCGGCGGCGGCGGGAGCAGTGGTTACGGGCGTCCGCCCAGGTGTGAAAGGCCTCCCCGGAGGGTAAATTTCAATGTGAGAAGCAGCGCTAACCCTGAAAAATTAGAAACTATATTTTGCATTTCCAGATCTTAACAGTCGCCTGCGTACTAAAGTGAAACTCGCCATGTACCTTTAAAGGGATTGGTCACGCTCTATGCGCTGGGACTGACTATTGTGCATTTCTTCCCAAAACACTGCCTTTTTCCTTCCTCTCAGACACTTCATCTTGTAAGTATCTGGTGGTGCAAGTGACTTAGGAACATTTAAATGCAATCAAATTAAAAGAATCTCTTCCTAATTTAAAAAGTGTTCTAGTTCTTTTCACTGTGTTCTTCTCTATCACACACACTTTCTTGCCCATAGCTTACATGTCAATATGGTATAAAGTTGAATAAAGAGAACATAAAAAGTTTCTTTTCCCTCTCCAAAGTTAACAGATAAAGTTTTCTTGTTTTGTCTTAGCTTCATTTTCTTTTTCAAAAGCTGTTTATACATGATTAGCTTTGTTACCGCTAATAGCTTAAAGTAGATTTCATAGCCATAAGTCATGCATTTACTGTACAGGGACCTCAATATCAATCTGCTTAAAGGAAAATCAGTGTAACAAATGAGAGTAAAGAATTGTTTTAACTATAGAAGGTCAAATTCTGGGTCTAAGGCAATGATACTACCCACAACTCCAGTTTTTAACAAATATTCTTACAGAGTGAACAACCTTTTTGTGCTTACTGTCATGTTTTCCAAATACAGGGCTGGTGTATACCATCAGTGCAAAACACGGAATGAATTCTTCAGATAAGAGTATATTTCAGTTTCTTCTCCACACACTTGCAACATGAGTAAAAAACGTGTTCCTCAAAACGTACTCATGCAAGCAGATTTCCACCCTGCGAATTGGAAAAGGCAATCTGTAAGCGAAGGGAGCTTTGCCTCAAGTCTGCATGACTCCCAAGAGTCTGACTCTGAAAGCCTTGTTCAGGAGAGACGGTATCAGTTAGAACTCCAGCAGCGGATTCGTGAAACTGAAGAGCTGGTAGGACTGTATTCTGATGAGTTGGAGAATGACAGCTTGGAAGAAGATAGGTTGGAGGAGATGAGTTTAAAAGAACACGAAGGAGGAGCTGAGTATGACACAAATCAATACACAAATGGAATACAAAAGAATGATGGTAATGGAAGGTAAGGCATAGGATTTTAGTAGATGAGCAGAATAGTTCTGACACTTTAAACCCTTACATTCCTCAGAATATACATGACATCTTCAAGACCAAATTATATTGCCAAAGTGGTATTAAGAGCACCTGCGGACTTAGTTACCGCAAAGATGTACTGTTTCATCTTACCCACATTCATAATTATTATACCCATTTCTCCAACATAGCCTCAACTGTTTATTATGTTGGCTGAAACACCAGCATAGGAGGGTAAGATGGAAAAGAAAACATCCCTTGCAAACCTCGTATAGGCTCCCCACATGCTGGCTTGAGATGCTGCGTACAGAGGTGAGTGCTACATGCCTATTTAGTTGCCTCTAAAACAGACAGGGAAGAAGGTAGGAAGCAGCGAGCAGATACATGTTAAGCCCTACTCTTCAACTTTACAGGATAAGCTAATGAGGGAGCATTTAGGTATAGTTTCTTCTGGTAAAGGGCTATTAAATGTAGATCTGCTTTTATTCCTGTCTCCTCGATCCAGAGCTGCAGTCAGTGGAAGGACTTCAGTGATTGTAATGGGCTGTGGACCAGCCACTACACTATTTAGCAGTACGTACTGGCTACCATCTCCAGTAGGCAACCACTGCCATGTGACTCTCAGACCTTCAGATGGTGCAGCAGCTCTGAGATTATGGGCTAGAGGGTTTCTGGAGCTGGGCTGTGAAAAAGGACCACATTGAAAACAAGAACCAGGACCAATACATCCTCTTTTTCATTCCTTACACAAAGACTTGTGCTGAGCAAACCAGGCCACTTCATGTATGAAAACTTAAAAGGCAAAAATTGGTGGGTTGAATAAATGCAGTTTTGTCCTTATAGCTGTATAAATCTAAAATGAAAATTTCCAGGGGTACTGCCACCTTTAAATATTCTTTACAAAGAATTAACTTGGCACATAAAATAAAATTTAATTTGCTGTCATATGCATAAAAGGTTTAACACTGTATAAATTGGGAATAATTCTCAAGTTTAAAGGGATTAAATTAAACCTGAAGTAACAATAATGTGCAGTTTCAATTTAATTGTCTACTTAAAATAAAATGGCAAACAAATGAAGGCTAAATGATTAATAGCATGCTTTTATTCACCTCCTCAACAGGCAAAATGACCAGTTATTGAATATTTTATTTTGAGTGCAAATGATGTTAATTGTGCTAGAAACATGTTCTAATTTTTAGTAATTTTTTTGACTGAATGCTATGCTGAATGTGAGGCTCTTCATTAAATGGAAATTTGATTTTATTTTGTTTGAACTTAGCCTAGTAAGTACTCAAATACAGTCCATTAACCGAGGCAAATATCACAGCATATACATATGAAACCCCCTCTCTACATCCATTACTAACCTCGGAATTTGAAGAGGAAATGCTGCATCTGTTGTCTACATACAACACTTTTGTTGATGAGTACAGAGTCCATCTAACCTTTATATCAAGTTGGGGAGTGGAATAAAAGGTGCACTTTTTGTCTGCAGATGATTAGAGATGAAGGAGCTCTTCACACTCATTTTGTTCCCGTGCAGTGACCTGGCCTGCATAATACAATTGAGCTGCTGTGCACACATTTCAGCACAATAGAACTCTTTAGCATTATACTGTTATTTGAATCATTGCAATTATATCACATATTTCTGTACTCATTTCAAAATATGGTCACCTATTTCTGTTTACCTGTGTTCTATGACAACCAGGAATAATAATGTTTTCACCAGTGTAAATCATCTAATTTCTAGTATACAGGATACCAAGGCACCAGTGCTTACCCGAAATGAAAAGCATTGCTAGAGAAACAGATTATTTTATTATTAGGAGCCACTTGAAATATAGGCATAGGCATGTAACTAATTTAGAAAGGAAGAATAAATGATTTATGGAAATGTTAATATAATTAACTATGCCACTGTTTGGAGAATCCAGCAGATCAGTACATTTCTTTTAATAGGGGGCTGAAGAGTCAACCAGGTTTCAGTGCCTATAAATGTCACTCTGAAAGACTGACCATTTGTCAGGGCCCAAGAAACCAGGACTATACTGCAGGTCCAGTTAAGAAAAAATATTTTTTTCTCCCATGCTCCTTACTCCTACCACTGCCCGCACGTCTCCTGGAAGCCAACTTGTATGTATTTTGCTCCTGCAGTTGGTTTTCCTCCTGTTGGATCAGACCATAAATCATAAACAGAATCAATTGTGGGTTTTTTAAGGCAGACCATCTTTGTTTGCTTTAGGACAAATGGAGTTCAGAGCAATGATTCGGACACTTGTTAAAAAAAAAAAAAAGCCAAACCCACAAACCTTTCTGATTTATGTTTTTCTACACTTATCTCAATTACAGCCTGTTTTTTAATGAGAAGTTACTTTAAGTCTTTTATAGAGAGTTTTTTATTGAAACATCATGATGTTTCATAGGAATGAGAAGAGAGAAAAAAATACAGAGCTGTAGGCTGTTCTTGCTTAGAGAGTCTCAAACTGACATTTGAGAGTGCGATTTTACCAGGAATATCACTTTTATTTCACACAGCAGAGTCTTTGAAGAATGAATAACACATACTATCTTTTATAGGCTACATAATTTTAAAGGAAACAACATGCAGTACAATAATTAATTTCATCTTTTAGTTGATTCTGTTAGTACTTATGATTTCTATGCTAAATTCAGGATAAAGATTGTATTCTACTGTGATCTGAATGTTAGGCCAATTTATTATTCACTGTTAATGAAAATTAAAAATTAAGAGGAGGTCCTGCCTAAATTTTCTACTAAAAAAAGTTTGATAAAACATCCCGATCCCACAAATGGCCATACTGTATGCACTGAAATAATTCAGCTGACCATATCTGCAGGACATTTGTTGGCTCAAATTGCACACTGAAATAATAAAGAATTTATAAAATTTATACATAAATAATTTTTATTTTCTTTTTTAAATAGGAAGCAACAGCCTGTGGACAAATATTTCAGCCTAAGATACAATCCTAACTGGAAGAACACAAAAGAGGTAGCAGAATTTTCTGAGGCAGAAAAAACACATCAAGTTGCCAGAGGAAGCAGTGTGGACTTTTCACAAGATTCATTTTACCTCCATTCCAGTGGCTCCCCAGAAGAAAAGAATCAACAGGAGGCAAAGTCACAAAATTCATTCTCAGAGTTTGGTACAGAATTACTAAGTTTTCATGAACCAAATGCCATGGTCAGTAATAAACCTTTTAGGTTACATACCAAAGGGAAGGACTCTGCAGACGGCTGTCGTTTCAAAGATAGTCCCAGTACATATGGCAGTGCTTTTTCTCTTCAGATTCAAGAGCGCCGACCACAAAGAGCAAAAAAAGACTTTGTGGAAAAAAATAAACGGACTTTAGGATTACATTCAGAGAAGATAAATTCCTATCTGCAATTACACAATAAAAAGCAAGAAGTTCTTCAAGAGCAGGTAAGTAACTTTTACACGTTTTCTAATTGGTATCAACTGAGGACTGTCTAGTGTTAAAATGGAATAGCTGCATGATCCAGTTTGCAGAGGAGGTAAGTAGATTTACAATCTGTCATACAACTGGTAAGTTATGAATTCCAGTGAGAATCTTGTTCACCCTTCATTTTCCTTTATGAAATAATGGACAAGTCCTCAGTTACTCGCAACCCTAGTGATGGCCTTGTTACAAGCCTAGTTAAGCTACGTATATTGTTGGCCATGAAGCATGTCTGCATGGTCACAGAGGTGCTCTCTCACTAGTTTTTAATCTTGATGCTAAAAATATACTGTCGTCTTTCCTGTGGGATCTACATTGCACCTTATCGGTGGTTCTTTTTTTGCTGCCTCTGATTTTTCTGTGTTTGGCCAACATGAATTTGGTGATGATTATCTCTGCTAATAGCATATTCCAAGTTTTGCTCAATGCAGCAAATGCAAACTGCTTCTAATAGCAGAACACTCAAAAAATTTTAACTGCAATAGGAAACCTTGATGTCACCACTTGGCTTAAAAAGCTGTATTAGTGTTTTTCCATACACATTGATCATAACAAAAAAGTGTATGTGAAGTTACAATTGAGTTTAAGAACCAGAAAACACATTGTGGTCACACTGCTTCTAAGGGCCATGTACACTTTTGCTTATCACTGTCATTTAGGGCCACATATGTAGGAATATCCTAGAAAGATGTGTCAGATTTGGGTGGTCAGACGACCCTTTCCCCCTACTCGCTTTCTCAGCCAGGCCAAACCTTATAGCTGACGTCAGTCAGCAGATACTAGTCATTGGGATTCAAAGGGCTTAGCTTTCTTATGATTTGCGGTGAAATGTCAGACAACTTGTATTAAGGATTAAGTGGAAATGTAATTACAGTTCCTAATGAACGATTATACATGAGTTTGTTGCTTTTACTTGCTACTGATTATGCAAAATGGGAAGGTGGGCGTCATTGAATCACTCCATGAGTTGCAGCATAGAAAATTCTTAACTAGCAAAACTACAGAGACTTTCTGCTTCAAGTGTCACATTTTCCAAGGCTAATGAACAGTTGACACAACACTAGAGGGCATCTTCTGACTGCATTACAATGAGTGTAACAGTGGACAAAGTTTTTTCTAGCAGAGCTATTAAGAGCATTTGGTTTTTTCAGTTATAATTTGGTGGATGGTAAAAATAATTAGTAAAGATTGATGCTAATTAAAGCTGTGTTGATATGATTATGTTTACTATTTGGGGAATTCTGAAAATGTTTCATGTGTAGGTATTGGAGCCAGGGATCAGGACTTCATTGTGTAGACACTATTCAAAGATATGTAATAGAAAAAAACAATCTGTTAAAATCAAGGCTATGTTCTAAGATTACCTTGCTGAAGTAGCCATGGGGACAGCAGAGCTGTATGTAGAAAGGTGTGGTTTTTACCTCGACAAGTTAATACAGCCGCAACAGCATCACCACCTACTGTCAGCTAGCTTTGTATTTGCTGTGGATAGGCATAGGAAGAAGTGCTTACCTCTCTTGTTCTTAGTCGAGGCATCCATTGCTCCATCTTGTTGGAGTGGGTGAAAGAAGGCCTGACAGAAGCATCTTTTTGACCAGAGCTGGCCCATGAGCCAACTTTTGTCACTTCATCTGGAAAACTATATCAAAAGTGCAAAAACACCAAGTATACAAAGAAGCAAACAAGCCACGTGTCTTCTGCTGGAGCAATCAAACATGTTCTGAATACTGGTTTTTCCTAAACTGGGTTATTTTGAGCTTTGCAGAATGTTGAAGCTGCTTTTATTGGTAAAATCACTGTTGGCTGTCAGGTACTGTGGTAGTGAAATAGTGTTTACATTGAAGTACTTTGCATACAGCTTTTTTCAACTGACATAACAACAGGCAAAATATTTGCGGCCTTGTTCTTGCAAGATTTCAGCTGTTATCTCTGTGCATACAGACAGCGGGCTGTATGTACCAAAACATACCATAGATGTGTGTTGATCTGTATATTTACTAATTTATATAGCATATTATAAAGCATCAAGTTCTTTGCAGTGTTGCCTGATTCTTTAAGAACCTGATGATGAGTTTCTTTGAGAGAAAGAGAGAGAAGTAGTGGCCCAATCTAGCTCAGCTGTACTCAATACGAGTTGCTTTCCTACCTACAAGCCCCTTACTTCAAAGCAAGGAACATAATGTACAATTTTTTAATGGCTCTAGACCAAGGCACTCAGACTCTCTGTGCACTGCGCCTTACCTCAGTGTAAACACCTAATCAAGATTGCCTGCGCTTCAACAATAGCAGCCAAATGCAATTCGAGAACCACAAGCCTTTGAAGTCCTCACTGCAAAGGCCGGTTTTCTAGTCTGGGATAATGACATGCCATGATTGCTGTCTTTGTTGTATCTTTTCAGTAGAGAAGCAATTATGGGCCTCAATTTAACAGAATAGGCATTACACAGCTTATGATGCTCAAAATGCAATTTCATTTGATCATTTTCTCAATTTGATTGGTATTAATAGAATAGTTCACAAAAAATGCTGGCAGAGGTTGTGTCCCGCTCCTCTTTCAAAGAGATAATGTAGAAGTATGCTTTACCTGCCCAGTAAACTATCAATACAGTGAGTCAGTTGGTTCCACCAAAAACATCTTACTGACTGCAAAGCTGTATCTATCCATAGTTCAGGAAACCTGTGTGATAACTTTTACTTTGTGAACTTTTCTAGTCACGCCTAATAGAATCTGCATCACCATTTGGAGCAATGAGATCACCTGAAAACTCAGCAATAGACCCCACTTACCTTTTGCTAGTTGTCCTAATCTCTCACCCCCAAAAAGGAGAGGCTCAGCTCCCCAGAAGGATTTAACTCTTCCTTCACACCAATTTCACCATTATGATTATCCATTAATAATTCTCTTGGTCACAAATATCTTACCAGTATAAGTTCTCCTGGGTTAGCCAGCGTCACTCTGCGGTGTTGCATAGGTACTTCTGCCACAAGAATGAGTCCAGTATATAGTTAGCTGTAGTGTCTTTACAGTGAGACTGCCTAACTACAGATTTTATTGAGGTTACACCTGCTGTAGTACTTAGCAGGATAGCTTGGGACAACACAAGTATAAATAAAAAATAAAGTATTGTTTTTTGTGAAGTTTCATAGATTGGGAAAAAAAGTTTGATGCTTTCAAGAAAAAAAAATCATTATTGCCATATTTATGAGGAAATCTCTTGGCTTTGAAATCTGTAGTGCCAGCAACCACCCTCAAAAAATTACTCAAATCTGATTTGCAGCCATCGTGCTACCATGACTGTGGCCACATGAAGATGTTCTTCTTTTTTGTGGGCTTGTTATTTTGCACAAGCTGTTTGATACTGTTGCCAGGCTATGTGTATTAGATGTTTTATTTCTGAAGATACTCCTTGTACTTTTCTACCAACCTTACTATGTTTTGCCATCTTTTTCTGCATGACTCTTATTGTTTAAGACATTGCTATGGGGTGTGTCATCCATCAGTATCTTGGTACACTTGATGATTGCTTGGACAATGATGATTGTCTAGTTGATTTTCTGTTATTAGATACATCCACTGGCTCTTATATAAATGGAGAAGCCCAGACATTTGAGAGTTACAAGTAGGTTTCAGTGCTGCATATGTCCTGCAATTTTCTTTTCCTCTCTTCTTCTTAAAAGCAGAAGGAATACTCCCTACTACCACACCACTGTTAATTGTTTTTTTGCTTCCTTTTTCATTTTCTCTTTTAGCCATTCATTTCCTTGTTATATATTATATAATGCATAACTTTAGCATTCTAGCTTTAATAGGAGGTGAATTATTTCTCATTCTTTCCCCGAGACTTTTAAAACCTTTCATCTGGTTGGGCTGTGGCCATAAACATTCTTGGTTTTTAGGTTACAGATCCTAAAACTGTTGATGAGGAACCAGTTCAGAGTGTCCTACCATTCCAGACTGTGAAAATGGCGCCTGAAGACAAATGGTACCTGAAAGCACAGCAGCTCAAGGTTCCTTTTAGATAGAACATGATAATTGAAATATATGTGTAAAAGCATTGAAGTTTGAATATTTAAAGCTGTAATCTCATTACTTTTAAAGTAGCAATTACTGACAATAAATCCTTAGAGAGATATCAGTAGATAATCACCAAAATTGAATGCATATGCTGCTTTATATACTGAGTGATTTTAAATCAAAATAGATCCCAAATCCCAAGAAATTCTGAGCTTAAATTATCATTTCTACTTAGGACATTATTTGGTTGATAATAATGTAATAGTGCAAACTAGTACATGGTCTTTTCTGATGGTTCATGAGGATTCTGAGCTAGAACTTAACTATTGTTGTGTTACTTGTCCCCTAAAATCCCCATGACCTTCAAGGGGTTACCATAAAACAGAAAATGTTACAAATAGAAGAAGTTGCACTGACCTCCTTCATTACACGTAAGTCTATAGATCTGTTTTATGCTGGCCTTTCAAACCAATGCAATGGGATAATCTTTGGAGCAATAAAAGAGACTAGGTTATCATCACTGATGAAAAACCAAGAGCTTCAGAAACAAAACTACAAGCCAGCTGGAACTCTTATTGGCAAAACTAGTTACTCTCTTTGTATTACAAGTATTTGAAGTAATTCAGGCAAACTGTTTAAATTCCCCGCTGTTCACTTCAGACTGGAAGCTGCACTTCTATAAAGGATAAATAAGATTTTATGCTGCTATTCATTGTAAGAGATGTGCTTTGTATATGGAATTTCAGAATGAAGGAGGTATTTTACAGGGCTGCTCATTCCGTTTAAATGGGAAAAGATTGGCCTGGTCCCAGTTTGGCAGCAGTTCATGCTTTCCACCAGTGGCACAGTATGCCAGAACATTAATTGTTACAGCAGAGGTTGAGCTAACAAATCATCATCTTGGCACCAGGAGTCAGAATTCCCCAGTGCTAAAGCTTTCGCCAAAACATTCTGCTTTATATGTGGATTTAATACCTACCATTAAGTAGTTATTCTGAGTGCATATGCTATGTAGCGATTGCAAGTGTTACTAACAAAAGAACCCTAGAGAGACGGGAGGATGAAATGGAGGATTTTAGCGCTGACAAAGATTAAATGGACTGAGAATGGATTTGTATATTCCCTAGAAGGAAAGCCATGTCTTTCCTCAAAATGGACCACACCTGATGCTGTAATTGGAAAGTGATAAATCTTAAATAAACTCCAGCTTTAGAGTATGCCAATTTAGCTCAAGACAGTAGTCCTGGTGTGCGTAAATTCTTAAATTGTTTCTTATCATTTGGATAGTGTTTTGCAGGATACAGGGCAGGGAGGAGTGCTTGGTTTAGAAATTAAATCATTTAAATCATTGACATCAGTCTGTTTCTACTGTGGACCAGTCTAATAGTGTACACATGGCCATCTTTTCCTGAAATTTAGTACAGTCTGCTTTCAGTAGAGCACAAAAATCAAGAACTGATTTGATTTTTGGAACATTTTTCCCAGGTAGTTGACAGTGAGCTACCACTTGTCTACAGGATTAGAAACAAGTAGTCCTGTGCATTTAAGGGCACCTATTTTTGCACCTCATTCAGATAAAACTCCCTCATTCCATATTTACCATGGCATCATTTCTTAGATATTGTTTGCATCTGTGAGGAACTGTTTTTGTAGTGTTCTGCTCCAGAATTTGTCTCAGGCCATTAAGCAAAGTTTTGTTGCAATATTATGCATTGTCTGTGCAGCACCTGAACAGCATCTGTGCTTCTGTTCTTGACTAGAGGTTCCTACATAATTTATTTTTGGACCAAGTCTAGCCAGGCCATCACCTGGTCAAGCCACAAGGATAATTTACTGAGTCAGGATTAGATACAAGCAGCACGGAGTGATTTTGATGAGTCAAATCAAACTTGTGCAAACTGGCCTAACTTACTGTGTATGTACTGTAATGTACCATCAGTACATTAAAGAACTGTTATAATAGTTGTGAAGGACCAATTCCTTTAAGGCCCCCTCTATCAGGACATGTTTTGTTAATTCCAAAACCCCAAACTCAAAGCCTTACAAATGCCACAAAGACTGTTCTCCATACCATACTAGACTTCAGGACACAGATGCTTTTCCTTTTACACTTCACTCTCTGCTAAGAGCTCACTTTTAAAACTAATTTCCATCGCGATACTCATTCAGCTGTATAAAACATTGCTATAGCCCTTTTCTAGTCGTGAGTGTACATTAAACAGGGGTGGCTGGTGCCATACATCCCTGATTTTGAAAGGGACAGATGATTATGCACTCTAGCCTGTTCAGGCCTGTTCGAGGCACCACATCAACACACGTTCAAAGTTCCATACATGTTCAGAACTCAGCTTCATTGTAACCTGCACAGCTTTTTAAGGGCTGTCTGAAATAAGAATGTTGTCCTGAATTAGAATCATAGAACATGATGTAATCTAGTCAAAACATCAGTCAATCAGTTAATTTGTAGAATTCTAAGAAGTAGCTACGTGAAAGGCATTGTGACAGGCAAACTTACCCATACACTTGTATATTGTTGATCTTAATGAACATGTAAACAGCAACCACTGGAATTCACCCCACTTTTGCTAACTTGTTTTAGGATCACCAAAACAAATCCTCCCAGAGAAATAAAACAAAATCCAACCAGAGTCTCAAAGGCAGAGCTTTCACAAGGAATGAAAGCCAACAACCACCAGGAAGACCAGCAGAACCGAAGTCTTGGTACCACAGGCACCAACAAATACCAGAATTTCAGACTGCTCCCATGCAGGCAGTGGAGCAAGACAACAGGACCACACTGCAGAAATGGCTGTATCCAAGTCCTTCTGTTGGCCTTGACACTAATACAGCAGCAAATTCAGATTCTTGCTTAAATAATTTCCCAAATTCAAGACATTTTGTTAATCAGGATTTTACCACATCTACCTATCCTTTTCATCCAACATTACATAAAATTAACCCAGCAGAGGTTATATCTCCAGCATATACCAGCAAGGAGAACAAGAAATATCAGCATGATTCTCCAAATAGCCTTCCACATGACCAGCAACCTTTATACAACCATGTCACTGTGCAGCTTTTTGCAAGAGATAACAGTACCAATGGTCAAGCACATCCAAATCGGAGGAATATTTCATCTACTTTTAATGCCAATTTTCAAGAATTGGTGAAGGATCAAGTATCATTTCAGGATTGCAAAAGACTCATTTATGCAGATAAAAGGTATCAGAACTATGCTATCAGTAGTTTATGGTAAGGATATAAGAGTTGAAATAGTATTACCATGGCACTATGGTGCCCAGAAAAAACAGAAGTGGACAAGAAAATGTTTTAAGTCCGAAGTATAAAATTATTTTGCTACAAACCTGCCACTATAGCTTACTACTAACTTAAGATTCATTACATCTATTGATTTTTAAATATGGTATTAGAAAAGGAGGGATTTGAACTCCAGGCTCTCTTGCACATAGTATTTTCCACAATTGAAAGCTTTCTTCTGAAAGGCTAGAAGGTGAAGTTTAAAAAATAGATAGCAAAGAGCACTGTGCATAAACTAAGTCTACTGCTAGCTGCATAGAGTTATATCAAAACTTGCCTTGCAGGGTGAATATCGAGAGTCATTCCAGTGCCAATTCTGGCTCGCTAAACATGGAGAAGGGCATGAAAATCCTTAGTTATGTAGAATGTTACCTGCCTTGATAAAGATTAAGATTTTATTTCACACAGACAATTAGTTCTTTCAGTACTCAGCAGGCCTGATCCAAGGCCATTTAAAAGGTAGTTTTCATTGGCTTAAGCTAGCTTTGCATCAGCCTGGAAGTTCCCCCATCTATAGTTTTTCCATTTAATTTAAACAGTTTCCATATACTTGGGTGCGAGTAAAGTCAGTCACTGTGAAATACCCATCTTTCCATCTTCATGTTCCCAGTATATTCTGTGAGCAAGCATCATTCCGTGTACAGATTGCTTGTTGAACTATCTGCGATATACAAATAAAGATTATTATTTTTCCCTCTCTTTCTTTTTTGAGGCCTTCTCAATCTTCTGTTCACAGTTCACTAGCAGCCCCTTGTACAAGCTCCCAATTTACACACATGATGGAGCAACATCACCAAGAAATCAGTCGTTTGACAGAAGCTCACTTAGCTGACACGCACTTCTTCAGCCTACTTCCACCTATAATCCCACAGGTAGAAAGTGGTTCAGAGGTAGATCCAGAGAGTGGTGAAGGAAATCAAGTGAAAATAAGCCGAAGTAACTCAGAAGGATATCTCAAGCAAATGGAAAAGCAAAACCAGCCTAAAGTCAGCAAGAAGGTAAGCAAATAGGTGTGGATTGGATGGTTTTGCGTTTCTATTCCCCCCTCTGATTAATATTTTTTTCTTAATAATCCAAAGATCTTCACAAAAAAAAAAAAAAAAGAGGAATGGGGACTGAGAAATATTTCATTGTTACAGAGAGCACACTGACACTTACTGACTTGCCCAGAGCATTAAAAACAGAGGAACAAAGGTGGAAACAGACACTAAAATCATTTTACTCTAAGGAGTGAGGCGGTTCACCACCACCTCTCCGTATGTCACTTCCAGTCTTGATTAGCTCTAAGAACACACAGAGCAGTGTTTGTCCTTTTAAGTTTTCCAGTGATAAAATGATTTAGAATAAAGCTATTTGTATAAAGCAGCAGGTAGCCAGGCCTCAGATCTGAGCAAACCATTATCCTGGTCATGCTCATTTACTATCCAACTGCAATCTCTTGGTTTCCAAGGGAATAAAACTGAGCAACAACAAACTTAGAGGATTTGTAAAGCTAAGTGCATAAACATTATTACAAGTCTCCTGATGATCCCATTTTGGTCCTTACTAAAACTTTGTTCTTTTTGTCTTTTCTGTGTGTCCAGTTTCATACTGTAACCAGTTAACACAGATGCAGTGGAACAGCATAGAGATATCCCTGTGTGTCCATGACAAATTATATGTTTAAGAAGTTAGCTCCAAGTCTCAGGACAGACAAACTAAGCTGGAATAATTACTCATGTGTTTCATCTAAGAGGCAGTTCGTGTATTGCTGCTTGAATGCCTCTAAGAAGAATTAGCTGGATTATGATAGTAACTGAAGGGCAGATTTCCTTCCCTTTCTGTTCCCCTGAGTTCAGACCATTGTTTCTGTCCTGTATTTTCAATTGCTTTCTCACGCTTCATATGTGAGGAATGCCGCAGAAAATAAGAGTGTTTATGTCTCTCAGAAAAATCCAGCTTTTCCCAATAAACAAATGCAATCATACTCATCGTGTGAAGTGAGAAAACCCTGATTTTGTTGTAGACAGCTAAATGTACTCTTCACAGTGCCTTAAAAGTTAGGTGTGAGTATATCACAAAACAGTAGAGATAACTGATACAAAGATGTAAAATTCAGTGCATAGAACTAGTTTCTCTGCAGCCGAGTTTAAATTGAGCATGCCCTTTGAAGAAATGCACATTTTATTTGCATATAGAAATTTCTTGGTGTTTTTGCATTACTCTGTGATTGAAATTACTACAGAGCTAATAATAATGAGTTTCCATTGACAAGTTTTTAAAATGTAGTCTAGTTCTAAAAATTGATCTAGTGTTCTTGAAAGAGCTATAAAAGATTCTGGAAGTATTGGGGTCTTTGTAGTAATGTCATGAAGTATTGAAATGGCATCACCCATCACTCATCTTCTGTCTTCCCTATGCACTTGTAAAGCTTTTACTGTGCTGCAAGGCATGTATTTTTCAACCATCTGTGAACAATTTTCCATTGCACTTTTGAAAACAAACAAAAATTACTATTACTAATAACATCTGCCTAATTTTTTTACCACCAAAGTCAGGTACTTTTAGCTACTTCTCTTATAACAGTTTCTTTGGAGTTTCATTCTAATAAGTCAAATGGGTCACTTTAAGCTGTTTAAAAATAAAGCTCACAAAAGATCATTTTTGACTGAGAACATATTGCTTTGTGATTGGGATGATTGGCAATTACCCACCTAGATTCTAAGGAAATACAGTGTAATTTGACTTGTGCAATTAACTTGATCTTTTTATCACTGACAGTCCTTAAAATGAGACATGCCAGAGGTAAGACTGAGACTGCAAGCTGAATCCTGCTCTTATCTTGGGTGCCCGCTACAAGACTTGCTTTAATTATGCTCTCCCTGAAATCATATGAAAGAAAATCTGTCACTGCTCTTTGTTTTTCAGCCATATAGCTCAAAAGCCTACATAAACCTGAATGTGAAGCTTGGAGGCCTTGGACCTGACTATGAATCCATCAAAGAGAAAGTACGTGGTCCCTATTACATGGTCGTCTTTTCAGTTGTGCAAAGTGAACTTAGGCAGGGGAGAATGGCAAAGAAATAGCTGCTGAGAAGCAACTTACATCCGTCTGGTACTTCATGTCCTTGACTCTAGGACTAGCTTGAGATCCTAAGGGGAGATTCAAAGAGAAGGAAAGACAACTGTATTGTGGATAATTTTAACCCTTTAATTTTGTACTTCCAGAAACAGAGAGTAGTTCAGAAGATTCAACAGGGCTGATTGCACATCAGTAAATTATATGACTGAGATGCATTGTCATTCCCAGTGTAGAAGGTTTGCCTAACCTTCAAAGTGGAAGTAAAAGAAGAAGTTGTGTAAACACAAGAAGAAAATAGCTGGATGTGCGTTACCCTGTTGAAACGGAGACAGATTGTTCAGAACAAGTATCTGAACAATTGGTATCCTTTGACCTGTTCTCTACTGATAATGAGGGTCTGGTAGCAGCTGTATATCTAAGGTGCTGAAAACTCTGTCCTGCATGCTTTGAGACCCTATTAATCTGACAGCAGGTGCTTTATATGGCATTCTTTATAGAAACATTGTAGGACAGCAGGAAGGAAAAATGATAAAATGATCATCCCTTTGGAGTCATTGAGAAGCCTCTGTATTTTTTTCCTCCTTGTCATAAATGAAACAAATTAGAAATCGGAAATTGGAATGGACAGAGTGGTGCATAGCCCAGGACCCTGTGCATTTTTAACACCATCGTAACACTTCTAGAACCTGGCATGCCACTGGGGTATCATTGCGTTGAAAGGAAGTAATTGACATCGGCTGATAACAGGGGCAAGGTAGAGCATACTGCTGAATTTGAGCATAATGAATTGCTGAAAATATAAAGACACAGAATATCAGTTAAGTAAATGAAGCGTGTCATTCAGGGCCTTAAAAGTAAGTACAGAGGTTTTAAAAGTCATTGCAAATGCTGACAGAAATTAGCACAGCCATTTTAGAACTGAACAGATATATTGAAACATTCAGAATAAAAATGCATCTGTTGCACTTCTGTTGAGCTCTATCCTCAATACGGTCCAAGAAAAAGCTCTTAAAAATGAAGAGTGACTAAAAAAGCTGTGCCATTTACCAGGATTTCCTGTTGTGTTCAGCTGAGGAATGATCAATAGCATAGCCAGGTTAAACAGCAACAGAGGTGTAAATGGAAGTCTCTGGTGGAAAGAGTGTTTCATTGATGGATCCACTGAGACATTTAATTAACCATACACTTTTTTCCTTTTGGCAGAAAGAGAAGTTAAAGCAACAAAGGGAATACGCAAAGCAAATTAAGGAACATAATATGAAAAACATTGCTTCAGTTCAGAGGTTACCTACAAAACCCCAGGTCATATCTTCAGTGTCAAGACAGAAGGTAAGAACAGAGTCCCTTTAAAATGCATGCAGGGAGAGATTCTGGACTTTGCACAAACAAAAAAAAAAGCATAAATTTAACTCACAGTAGGCTGAAATAGTTTCTCCATTTTGCTTTACCTTTTAACAACTCTAAGGACTTCTGCTCTCATGGGATCCTGGCAAGTGCTCATCTGTGCATCTATTCTGTTACAGCTGTAGGTGAATGCCAAAGATTGCTGATTTCTTTGTCAACAGCAGTCTTCAGTCCATGCATCTGCCTTGCTCTTCATGAGAGTGTACCAAGTGAAAATGGAGCAGTATTCCATCCAAGCTACCAGCACACAACTTGGCTTAAACAGCTAGTGATGCTTTCCTGGGGAAGGGTGGGAATAAAGGAGAGTGGGACCCTGCTAGGAACATTACCCAGTGCAGCACATGCTCTGCTTCACATCAGTGGTAGAGGCCACAGTACTGCAAAGTGCACTCTTTAATGGACCACAGATATCCTCTTGTTAGTCTATTATCCACCTGCCTGTCAGTCTCACTCACAAATTCTTTTCACTTCAGTTGCATAGCTACAGTAATTGGTCTTATTTTTCAAGCCCATGCAACATCACTTTAGCCTTCACTGGCCTTCAAAAATAGTCCAAATGAGCAACAACTGGCTACGTGACAGTGGCATACATTAACAAACAAAGGGAGCATCTTTTCCCTATCGCAGGAGGTAATAAAGCTCTGGAAACAGCATGTATTTTATCCAATCAGTTCTGCAGGAGCTCACCTGCCTGGTGCTGAAAGCACACTAACAGGTATTTCTCCAACATGATGAATGAGAGCTGCATGCTTCGGAAAGAAAGTTTTGGAGTTTAATATCAGTTGAATTCCTCAGTTACTTGCATTTATTTCCAAACCTCACATAAACCTCATACAAAGAGATGAAACTGCATTCTTTGGATGTCAAAAGGGCTTTGGATTCCTTCTGAAGACTTCGCAGACACTCTTTCACCAAGATTATGAGATAATGCAACTTCCACTTGAGACATAATCGGTGTTTCCAAACACATGCCAGGGAAATGCAGACACCAAAAAACGTCCCAGGTTAAACCAGGGCACTCTCAGTTTCAGGATTTCTGTAATACTGTTTCCATTCCCTCTGCAAGACAGCCTTTCAGGTTCCATACATCATTGCATACTATTTGACACTCTTACAGGTATCTGTTTTGCATTCGTCTTTCAGCACGGCCCTGCTCAGCTTCAGTGAGACATGTCAGATCTAGAATAACAGCTTGAGTACTCACATTTTTCTTTTTAATTTTGATAGTTAGGCCTATTATGCAGTAGAACCTAAACCCAGTTAAACAGAACTTACATAATTGTTTGCACAATATAGTCTTTACCTCTGTGTCACATTCACACATGCAAGTTTACCTACATACTGCTACGGAAATACATACTTGAAAAGCACGTGATAAAAGGAAACACTCGGCCAGTGTAGGAAGTACAGTTCTTCAAGATACGCTGTCCCTGTCAATATTGCATTACTGCCCTCCTTTCCTATACTGCTTCACGATATATTTGTTCAACATACACACACTCAGAAGCAGAAAAGAATTGGAATGGTGATTTTTTTCATGCTGCTGTCCATATTCTCAGTATAGTATGTGTGGGTCCTGTGCAAACTGGGTGCTGCTGGTAAAGAATTTTCCAGTCACGGTAGAATATGCATGGTTATACCAAAACTCTGGGAACTCTGTGAGAGACAATTGTTTGTTTTACTTTGAAACAGTTATCTGTTAACGGTTGCCATGTCTAATACCCTCCTCGCTTGTTCAGAAATCTTTCTGTGTTCAGAACTGTGTTAGCTTTGAAATTAATCAAAAAGGAATTTGGCAAGGCATTCTGTTAAATAGGGTTCCAGAGAATTTAAAACTATTACCTAGACTTCATTTCAAAACTTGTTTTAACATTTTAGGCCTTTCAATACATCAATTCCTTAGAAGTTGTCATAGGAACACTCAGTTTCCATCCTTGTCCTATTAACCTGCAGAACTCCCTGCTATAAGATATGACTTAGGACAAGCACTTAATGAGGCTGAAAAAAAAATTTTTGTTTATAAACTTAATAGTTTTCTTTCTTGGAGGAAAAACACTGCTTCAAGATTTAAGGTGGCCCCCAGTGGTTAAGCGTCAAAAAGCAAATCTCCTTGAGGTGGGTTATTTTGCTCACTGCAAGAGGTTTCTTGCAGTTGCTACTGAAGCATCTAGTATTGAACACTGTCAGAAACAAGATCAGGAATTAGGAGAACTATTAATTTGACTCAGCATAGAAACACCTAAATTTTCTTGGAAATATTGGTCAAGTTTTGTCGTAATCAGTTACCCCAATTTTCATGGTTTTAGGCGCTGGAATATGCTAAGAAGATTCCTAGACCAAAGACTTTCATGGCAAGACAATCAGATGAAGAGGTCAAAGAGGAAAGTGTTCTGCCACAGACTTTAAATGGAGACAGTTTACCTCAGATTGCATCCTTAGAAACTTTGCAAAATAGACACGAGAAGGAGAAGCAAGTTGTAGCTGCTTTCAGAACCCTTCATATCTTATAAGTATTTTGAAATTATTAAGGATACCTTCAAGACAAAAATGTCTGAACTATTTAATTATAAGCTATGACCATCACATACCAATTTAGCTTTCCACTGAAATATAAACTGGCTTAAGTTTAATCATTGTTAAATTTTAGAATCAGTTCTACTATACCTAATTTTTAAAAATGTAAACAGTTGCATATGTGGCATTTAAAATATGGTCATCTCTGTCATTATTTTTCTTTGAAATCAACTGATCTAGCAGTTGGATCTTTGAGACTAATCAGCTGTTGGCTTGTCACAGCTGGATCATTTTGGGGCATGTCAAACATATAGGCCTATCTACAGAACATTACAAATAAACATCAGTTTCATTTGATGATCTTAATACCAGCAATGTTTCTCTTCTTGAAGAGCAGAGGAGACTTTGGCAGACTGTCCAGAAATAAAGCAAAAAATAATCTACTGCTAGCAAGAAAGAGAACAAAAATGTTCACTAAACATAGCAGTTGGTAATGATACAATAGTAATTATTCAACTGTTATTTTGTTATCTGTTAGTGAATAGCTGTCACATCAAGACCAAAATTTTGAAGCTTCATCTGGGACAAGAAGATTCAAAACAAGTACTGGCTGATCATGCAGACAATCTGTTATTAGCCAGAAGCAGTTGGAAAATATATTGAGTAACTAAGGATAATTGAGAGCTACATGTTTGAGAGGAAGCAGCTTTTAACAGATTAAATCTATAAAAATAACAACAAACAGATGGGTTTCTTATGATGGTTCCATTTCTTCAACTTAGTAAATTAAGTCAACATATGAAATATTATTAGAACACACAGCAAGGGAATTTTGAAGAAAACACACTAAACTCTTGTAGAAAATAGGCTAGTTAAAAGGAAAAAAAAACCCACAAACCAACAACCTTGTGATTATGTGTAATTGCTTTATCCAATTTATTAGGTCCCCTTTTGTATGGGAGGAGAGAGAGAATTAGTCTTTGGGAAAAAAAAGGGTTCGAGTCTCCTTGAAGGAGGCTAACAATGGAAAGGTAAGGCGGGGAACGAAGGAGAAAGTAGCTTTGAAATGGCTTTCTCTGTTTCTAGATGCACCTTTTGTTAAAGGTAAAGATAGAAATATGTAAGACACATTTAACACGTTTCTGGGTTAACATTTCATTGGCTGCATGTCTTACAGGAAAGATAATTCTCCAGTAGGTGTACAGTGAAGTCAAGGCATTGGAGGTATGACATATATTGCTGGAAAATACCTACCTTTCATTTTATAGAGTCCTGGGTGAGTTTGACCTAGATCCTACAGTCCTCAGGATGCCTCAGTCCTCCTGAAAGTGGGTGAGTTGCTGAAATACACCCTGAGGATCTCCAGTCAGGCTCCTAACCTAGTGTGGGAAAAACTGATTACCATAGCGCATCTCTGCGTCATGGAAAAAGGACATGTTCCTTTCTCTAAAGCCCTCCTGACCCACCTGAGAGACAGGAAGCTCTCCACCCCGATGGTTGCTTCCCACCAAGTGTGCTGAATTAGACCGTTAGACTTTGCAGGCCTAAGTTTGTGACCGTACATAATCTTTGGGGGAGACTCGGTGGAAGGAGCGCCTTCCAATGTGGGGAATGTGGGTCAGGTCGCAGGGGAAATGTTCTGCGTATTGAAGTGCAGCACTGGACATCTTCAGATGGCTGCTGCAGCTTCTGGAACAGGACCATCCTCTGCCCCAGCCCCCTTTCTCCTCGCCTTTGGGTAGACTGCATTTGCCCCCTCTTTGTAGAATGTGCATGCCTGTGGTACGATCCATCCAGCTAGACTGGGTAAGTGTTTCCATGCTCTGCCAGTTGCTGCTTTTCTACTTTTATTTTCAAACCGAATGGTAACACTTTGAAGCATTTCTGATTAGGGAACCTCAACTTGTTGTTTCTGCTTAAAAGTGATAATCCCCCCTTAATACAAACCTCAAGTACCTATTTTAATGAAACCTTCAGATGAATATCAAAGAGCTATTTACTCGTATCTAATATTTTAATTAGATTATATTCTCAATTTAACCCATTAAACCCCCTTTGATGATCTCCATGTTTAGTGTTTAGCCCCAGATGCTGGAGGTAATGAATATTGGACCTTTGATTTAATGAGAACTTCTGCCTTTCCAGCCTGACTCCCTTTGTATCCCCCTTTTTTTATTTTCTGAGCTATAGAATTCGGTTAATTGAAGAAGTCTCTTACCACCACACATTAAGGAACCTAAATTAGCATCCCTTTTCTGATTAGAAAATGCAAGCAGACATTTTCTCTTTGATCTGAGGATTGAGTTGAAGTAGGCAACAGCCCCCTGAAAATGAGCTGATGGCCTTATTATTTGGCTGACATGCAGATGCGTCCATGTGGTGCAAAATGCTTAATGTCTTAATTGATCACCTTCCTCCCTTTTAGAGCTCCCATAAATTAGGGTGATCTTTCTGGGTGGGTGGTGTGTTTCATTTGTTTGGGTTTTTTTTAGTAAAACAATGGACTTTTAGGCAACATTTAAATACTAAATGCATGCTAAACTAGAAGCCAGGTATACTGACGTGATGGTGCATTGGGGCAGGGATAGATTTTTTTCTAAAAACACTGATCATGATGATCTCACAAACCATTTGGAAAGGACTGGTTTGTTGGGGTTTTTTTCCTCCCAGAAAAAGACATCATTTGCAGCATATGTGGAAAGAAAATCTTTTGATCTACCTCGATACTAATGCAAATTTTTCCTGCACCTAACAGATACGGTGGCACAAAAAGGGACCATACAAGTAAATGATGAGCATCCATCTGCTTAAAGGCAAAGGCCAAAACTTAATGTCTTTCAAATTAGGAAGGCAAGGAATTTAAATAAGAAATAGTCCTTGAATTTTGCATTAAGTATTCAGGGAGAGATTGAGCTGCAGTAGAACCTGCCTGCCATAGTCCCACAGCTCCAGCGCAGTTATCGCAGAGCACAGCATTACTCACAGTGAGCACAGGCTGCTTTCACAGGGGCAGAAATGTATTTGTGTACACCACCCAATAGAACTTCTCAACATTTACTTGGCAGGCCCTTTCTAGTGCCACCATTTCTTAATATTTTAGATTCAAGAAGCGTAGAAGCTGAGATCACCCTGAGTGGTCAAAGACCCAGGTCAGTTCTACTTAGGAGCAATGCTGCTGCAATAACATCACCGTCATGTTTCTTTCGAGTGTACCTGAAGTCAGCTTCCCACCACCAGCTCACAAAAGGTATGAACAGCTGGCCCATAGGCTGCTGACTCTGACAAAAACATACTGTTTCATTAGTTAAAAACATTAAATAAGGCAGTGCCTAAAAAGAGAGCCTAGAAGCAGAGCCTAAAAGCCATGTTCCATCATTACATCTCCAAAGACAAACTGTCAAAGATGAGGATTGTAAACCAGACAAGATTACATCTAACTCCTGCAGTCACTGAATACTTGAAATAGGCATGAATGAGCTATAATGTCTAAACAGCCCACAAGCCAAGCATTTGTTCATTATCATCTCCTGTTAAGGATCAGTGCATTATAATAAATAATCAGTAAATTATAATAGCACACAAAGAATATGCCTTTGTGGTTGTTTTTTTTTTATTTTGCATGCTGCCCAAACCTTAAGTGCTCTCTGCCTGAGAACAAGCAGGCATATGAAGAAAGGGCCAACTCTGGTGACTGCCTGTGCGGTGTGAGGAAGAGCTCTAGATGCACAAAATCACAGTGATACATAAAGGCAATGAACCTCCACTGGTGGCAGCTGGCAAGGGCGAGTTAAAGCTTTGCAGAGGAGCTTGCTTTGAACAGAAGTGATACTGAGCCAAAAACCTGGATAGAGCAGATGCTAAAGAAGCACCCAGCAGCTCAGCAAGAGCTTTGCATAATCGTGAGTGCAGAGCGGGCAGCTGCAGGTAATACCACAGGACTAGTTTTCTGTGTGTCATAGAAGCACTTAAGGATTTGTTCCAGTAGTCACAACAAAGCCAACCAGATACACAACACCAGAGAATATTGAGTCTTTACCTTAGGAAAGCAACTTGAGTGGTCTCAGCCACAGCTGAACAAAGTGAGTCACAAAATTCAGTCAGCTTGCCTTTGCTCTTGGCATTCCCAAAACCTGTATCATAAAGTTACCTCATTATCGTGAGTTAGAACCAGCTTCTTCCTTGAAAGACTGTCTGTACCCTAGCAGGTAGAAAGGGTACTGCAGTCCACTCTGGGATCACCCTTTCTTCTCGTAAGCATACACGTTACACCCATCTGCCTTTATCACCAAGAGCGATGTATTGCTACCGCTGCATGAACACTGACCTAGCCCGAAGCACTTTTCGCAATGGAGCTAGAAGTGTTTAGTTCTAAGCTTATTATGCTATAGAAACAAGATAAATCCAAGACAGAAATAAGCCACTTCTTAAGCCGAGTAAGACGATCCGAGCAGGAGTTTGCAGTTAATTAAGGTGATGCTGTTTGTTATTGTGACTAGAAGAGAGGAAGAACAAAGTCGTCGATTCAGGAGTCCACAACACTCAGGAGTTCGCAGTGCTGTAGTCAGCATCCTCTCTACATTCCCCTACCCCTCCTCTGCTCCTCAGCATGGCCCACGCCTGCAGAATCTTCACTTCAGAAAACCAATGGAAAAAATTGCACCTAGTCCAAAAGCCAGAAAGAGAGAAACCCTGAGAGGAAGTTGTAGAAAGAATTTCACAGAGCGCACGCAATGCCTGGATCACTTGCTGGGCCTGGCCATGGGTAATTTACACCTTCACCAAGCGACAGCCCATGGTACTTTCAGGGCTGACGCTACACATGTTTAATAGCAAGACTTTGCAAATGATTCGCTCTGTAACTGCCCATACAGCCTGCATATCTGACCTGCTTTTACATAGCTCTGGCCACAGGAGGAAAGAACTTGGGCTGGAACTGCTTTCCAGTGCCATAAAGGTTAAAAATGCTAAGAGCAGCAGAGAGGAAAATACTCAAAAT